AAAAAAAAAAAACAAAAACAAAAAAATTCTTTTTCTTCTCGTCCGAGCCATCACGGGATCGGAGGTAAGGTGAGAAAACTGCAACAAAACCAAGGGAAAGGAGAATAGTCGAGTAATTCTATATTCGCGTTGAATAAACAAAAAGGATGAATCCTTTCGGGGCAATCTGGATATCGGTTATCGCGAGGTTCTATCTTGGTAATTACCTCGATGTAACCGCTTTTTGCATGCAGCCCACTTGAATCGAGAGACCCTCGGGATACAACAGCCATCGAGCAGATAGAGAGAAACGAAAATCGAGTTAAGGTGGAGGAAAAGAACGGATAGAAAAAGAGGAGGAAGAGAGACGACGCCAGGTTCAGAAACGGCGGTGAAAATGAACCAGTTAGACGAAAGGACTTATACAGGATACTGCAAAGTAGAAGATGGCTGAAGGTTCTCGATGCATGGGGGGCATGATCAGCTCCGGGGGTGAATTTGCATTGTGGCCGAACGCTTCGTGTTTGAGCTGCACTGTACAGCTGCCCGAGCTGCATCTGCTCCAATGTTCCCTCTAATCCTCCAGGAGAATCGTCGATACTCTTCCCACACCCTCTGGCTCGGTGCAAGGATACCCGATCGTTACGTTTCACCCGGTCGTTAAATTAACGAACGGAACGTATCGACGGAGGAATGGAACCAAGTCTTTCGAGAGTCACGAAGTCGACGTTCGAAACGAACGCGAGAGGCAAAGACGAAGAGGAGATCGCGGAGGAAATTGCCGGGCAACTTTTGTTCTACTCGGCGTCTACTTCGCCAAGTGGCTATCGGGCGGCAATCTTATCGCGACTTTCTGCTCGATATCGCCAAACGAATTATTGAAGCCGTTCGTCTCGCGAGCTCGAACTGCGTATCGATATTTCTCCGGAGTTCTGGTTATCGAGCGCGTCGGCGATAACGGAATTTTTCCTTTAATTTCCATTCGTTGGACGATCGTCTACGTTACGATTTCCACTTGGTGCCGCGACGGACCGAGTTTTCGAGGGACAGCGGCAGTCAATGAAAAGAACTTACAAGGAAGAGAGATCGATTAGAAGAGAGGGAGAGAGAGAGAGAGAGAGAGACTGGGCGGTACGCTTTGTACGAGTGAACTATTATAATCGAACTAGCCAGATTCTCGTCAAGTTTCCTCCTTCTGTAGGAAATTGCCGTCGAACAAGCGGCTCAAATGAGTATCAGACATACGAGTGAGACTCCGACGTCTCTCCAGCTTCTCCACGTCTCTCCGTATTTCGAA